ACTTGTTAGACGCTTTTATCCAAAGCAACTGCATACATTCAATACTGTGGGGAATCCGCACAGGAACAATTTGAGGTGAAGTGTCTTGTCCAAGGACACAGCGGAATGTTGACTGCAGCGTGATCCGAAGCTCAGCGCACTAACCACTGAGCAGCAACCTCCCAACATGACATAATACAGCTTGTGGATATCCGGCTCTGATCCGACGTTGTCTCAGCATACCATTGGGTTTCCCGGGTGGGGTTGTGAGGGACAGTCCTCATGCTCTGTTCATCCCAGCTGGACTTGACCTGTGTGACATTGAGAGGGAGAGAAAGAAAGAAAGATAAAGCCCCTTTCTCAAAGAAAATTTGCTTTTTTCCTTGAATACCTACATGATGAGTCATTTACAAAAGAACTGCATAGTGCAGTGCACCAGTTCTTGAGTAAATACAAAAATTAAAGGACCAATTGTTTTCAAACATAAAAAAAAAGGAATACATCATGTAATCTCAATCTTTATTTATATAGCACATTTAAAACAACCTTCGGTTGACCAAAGTGCTGTACAGGCAGTAACTACAATATTGAATAACCCAATGGAAGTACAATAATAAAACAATAATTAAAAGCACAATAACTAGAAACATATAAAAAATAAATAAATAAAAAACACAAATATAAAAATGTAATGTTCAACTAGTATTAAAAGCCAGTGCAAAGAGGTGAGTTTTTAGCTGGGATTTAAAAAGTTCAATAGACTCAGCAGTCCGGATATGTGCTGGGAGGCTGTTCCACAGTCTGGGAGCTGCAACACTGAAGTCCCTGTCACCTCTGGTTTTTTTTCCTGCTCCGAGGAACCACCAACATATTCTGCTGAGGGCAATGCTCTCGCTGGAGCATGGCGGTGCAACAACTCAGACAGGTAATGTGTAACCTTAATCCTTCACTGTGGTACCACTAGCTGTGAATATGAACAATGCCAAACTCCCCTTTCTAACTGTAAAGCCAACAAAGGGAAATATTGCACCCATTAATTAAGTTATAACCATTATATTCTTATACATTGTGAAGCGCATACAATATTGCACTTTCAAACCTCCTTGTTCTGGCCATTAACATTTTAGCTCCCTGCAAAATGACAGAAAATCTTGTTGTAAGATTTGTATTCAAATGTATGGTTTTTTATTTTAGAAAGCAGAATGGGGATACCTGTCTGGAAATAGGTCGTTTTCTCAACTTTCCATACTTATCAAGACCTAAATTACTCATGGTATTTCCTATGGCACAGGAACGCTGAATACAACTTCTATCCAGAAAGGTGATAAATGTAAATAAAACAATAATTATAAAAAAGAGAAGCCGGTCAGTATTCTTCTCAGCTGTTTATGGTGTCTGTCTAGCAATTCTTTATTCATTCAGAGTGTGGGCCTCAGCAAGATCAACATGGCATATCATCTACAGTAGGTAAGAAATGTTTCATTAAATTATACCTTTACTATTTAAGTTGTTTTGTTGGCATGAGTGAATAAAATAAAACATTACACACATCCACTATACAATCATAATTAACTAAGACAATATAACGGGACATGGAGGAAAAGAGGGACTAAGGAAGGTAACATGGAGTATGGACCAACATCATATTCAAAAATAATAATTTATAAAATGAACTATTAGCCATATGTCCCCTGTGCCACCAGGCTAAAAAGTCAGCCAGGTTGGTCTGTGACAGCCTACCACAATTGCCAGGTTGCTTGTATTCATCAAGTACAGTGAATTACTGAATTATAAATGGATAGTCAGGGAATCAACTCAGCTGTGTCTCGTGAGACTTTATCAAAGCCGGGAAGACTTGTTTGTCGCGAGGCATAATACCCTATATCCGAGGCCAGTCGGTGTCTCGTGAGACCCCACTTTATCAAAGACCGGGAAGACTTGTCTGTCGCGAGGCATAAAACCCTATATCAGAGGCCAGCCGGTGTCTCGTGAGACCAGTCAACAGCAAACCATCTACTAGAATACTCGCCACTTGTTACAAACCGACCTTCAACGACTCCCTGTCAACCAAAAATTACTGTATATCTATATTAATATATTATCAAGTTAGGTTAGTTTTATAATTCTTATTATTCTCGTGTTATTCTCACACCACATTTAAAGGTAAGTCAGCTGCTACCGGTGCATTTACATTACATGCCACTGCGCCACACGCCTCCCATTTAGCTTAAGGAAGTTACGCTGTAGGTTTTTTTAAATGTCATATATCCTTGAAAAGTTACCCAAATAGGTTTAAAGACTATGTGAAAAGTGATAAATAAGTTAAAAAAGCTTTTGTAAGTATTTACTTAAGCTAACGCTAACTTTCTTAGCTGGTAAATTGCTAACAGCCAAGTGTGCTAGCGTTCTGCTTAGCAGTATCTCAACATAGTGTGATGAATAACATTAAGTATAAAAGGTTGTACATCACCTTACTTAAAACATTACTAATATTTAAACCTTAACGAAAAGTATTACAATTCATCGTCGATGACGAGCGAAGCTAAAGCCAGCTAATTTAGCTGTTAAATTCATTTCGTGACTATGACATCAAATGCCGTGACACTGGGTTGCAACTTAACAGCTAAGAGAGCTAGCATTAGCTATTTATTTATTTTAGCTTCGTTATTAAGCAAGTAAAATAAAGCACGTTTTTACATCGCTTAACTTTAGAAATGAATTATATTAAGACTTAAACTAATGGGGAAAGTATTACAATTCATTGCCTCTAACCCTGGTATGACGTATGAAGTTAAGCTAACACTAGTTTACTAAATTACTTCTCCCACTTTAGTTTCAATATAGTTCCGAAAATATGCGTTCACACCAAAAAAATCCGGAATTAGAATTTAGTTCATATGAACCTTTTCACTCCCTTTTCAGTCGCTGCTAGAGAGCAGGTACTTTAATGGGAGAAAAAGGTTCCTATTTCCTCGCATTAGCCCAGCGCTCTGTACTTAGTTCATATGAACTGTTTAGTTGTCATGAACTAAAGTGGGAAAAGTACTTGGTGTGAAAGCGCCTATTATGTCAAGTCGTATCAGCAGTGCTAATGCTAGCACGTAGGTTTACTGTATCAAATGCGTAGCTGAGCTAACGTTAGCTCAAGAACTAGAACACACTGCTCTATCTTACGGCTTTCAGATAGTTAACGTTGTATAAAGTAGCAAACGTTAACTCTTGACTACCCATTGCTATGCAACTGTTAAGTTTAGTTAACGGAATTGGTACACATATACTTAAATAACTTAGGATAAGGAATCTCACCTTTACATATTTGAAAATGTAATCCTTAATACAACAAAAAGCCTCGTCGCGGAGCTAATTCTCCAGCACATGCTGTTCAGTTTACGTGCGTTCAGAAAGACATCAAATTACTACTCACCCTTGCTGCTGTTCGAAAAAAAAACATAGATAAAATCCAATAAACTCCAAAATGTGACTCACGGGTTATATTCGTTCACAAACTTCTGATCCTTAGCTTTCTGTATTGTCTGACTACGGTCGAGTCGCCCAGGCTACTTGCACATGGCATGTCACTAACATAAACTGAATCTGTCCAGCTCATGTGATTTTTTTTATGGGCCGCTTTTTCAACCACTCCGTCGTTTTACGGCATAGTTGTTGAGACGTTTTTTTAAAACTTAATTTAACATGTTCAACGACCACTATCCAAACAATTATATATTGACATTATACAGACATTTGTTAATGAATGCTTGAAATCACCTTTTCTTGATAAGCGATAGAATATGTTCAGTGTGAATTTTACAACACTACCAAAATCAATTTGGTCCACTTAAACTTGATTTTACAAGTGTATCTTAGATTAAAATGTATGATAATGAGTATACATAAATATATATTCTAGTTGAATAACTTCAACAACTACTTTATTTAAGTAGTCATGCAAGCAGTACCTCATGAAGGTTCCAATGTCATTTCTAATGTATATTAAAACAAATATGATAACATTGTATCTAAATAAATGAATTTACATATTACGTTTACAATTAGGAACTTTATTTTGTGAACTAAGTGAAAGTTGGGCTACTTTCTTCTCATTACATTTCAGACTGAATTTTACTTCTAGAATATAATGATAATTAAATGTACATGTACATGTACTCTGATGAGAATGTCAAATGATTCATAAATAATGTGTTAATAACCATTTTGTTATGGTCCCTTCACGCTTCTATATACTCTATATTGAGATCTCTGACTGCCTGGTATCGGGGGACAATTGGTTGATCAAACAAGCAGTCAGTCATGTACACAATTTCCTCATTCATTTTAATATGCTTCGGTTATTAAAAACTAATAAAAGTGTATATTTTGTTGTTTCAGAACATGGCCCTGAAAACTGTGCTCAACACACCGATGGACACACCTTATTTCAAGCTCCCACCAATAACTGTGAAGGTGCTCAAACTGGAGGACCAGTCAAAAGTGGTGTCTTGGGACTTTGGCGCCACAGTAAAGGCGGCCACCATCAAAAATAACAAAGTGGCCATTCTGTCTGATGGCAGCAGTGTAATAAAAGTTACCATTTATGAGGAGTATGCCTCAAGAATCACAGAGGGGGGTACCTATGTAATAAGGGGGTACACACTGCGCGGGCAGTTTCCCCCATATTTTATGAATATAGCAAAAAACACGATGTTTTTTCGAGGAACCACCCTGCAAGTGCCGCAAAACCTTCTGGAGGAGGCGGAGGCCCTCCTCCACCCTGCCTCGCCATTGACCTTGATCAAGGACTGCACAGAGGGGCAAGGTTACATGTCAGTGCAGGGAGAAATAATTGAGGTAACTTTGACCTTACTTTCTAGTATTAAGATTATCAGTACGGTGGCATGTGCTCTCAAAATAAACCAGGTGGAGATGTGAATGTGTCCTAAATACATCCACGTTTTGTCTGTAGTTATCATGTTGTTATTCAATATAAAAACAGATAATAACAGAACACCTTGTTGTTTAGATGTTTGCGGTTAAAAGGGTACGGAGTGGAAAATAATTCGTCCCAACCCGGAGGTTGACATTGGAGCAGGTAGGTTATACATGTTTTACTTACATTGGTTCATTTGTTTCAATTAAGTTTCAATTTTTTTTGAAAATATTGTATCACCCCAAGATGAATACTTTGTTGAAGTTTTTTTGTTTCCACTTTGATATTGTTGTGACATTAGATACAACTATTTTGCTCCCTTAAACAGGAGTCCAACCGAATCTCCATCACCCTTTGGAGGGAAGCTGCCATGGCAGCAGCAAACATTGGGGAGCTGGTGATCATCAGCCATCTAAAGGCCACTCGCACCGACTATGGGATCCAGCTCCAATCCTCACAGCTCACCAAGATTGAGGTACGTTGTGTAATCTGTTATTTGATCTTTTTCAAACACAGTTTTAGAATGAAAGATATGTTTTTATTTGTATTTAATGTTTTTGGAACTTTTTGTTAACAAGAAAATAATAATGTATTTCTGATTGAAGACATTAACCAATTTAAATCCTGGATCTGATAATGATATGACCTTACTTATATACATTTTTTGATAGTTAAAACAGGAATTATTTGGAATTCTTATTTTAATCAATGTAATGAAAACGTATGAACATTTTAGATCAAACTAAGTGAAAAAAAGAAACTACTACATAGCCTACACTTAAATGTCATCAATTGTTTATTCGCTCAATGTAAATAGTGATTTAAATCCTTATACCCACTTTCCCTCAACAGAAGCCAAAACTGCAAACTATATATGGAGAAATTATTGGGGTGATGGACTTGGAGTGCAGCGGTTGCAGCGGTTGCAGCGGTGGTGGCGGTGGCAGTGCCAGCGCCAGTGGCAGTGCCAGTGGCAGTGGCAGTGGCAGTGGCAGTGGCGGCAGTGCCTGTGAGGTTCAGCTGCAAGTTCTGCTGGAGAGTGGGGAAGTATTCTCCATTGAGAAGGCTACATGGGAGCCTTTTGAAGCCAAATTAAAATTAGACACGATCAGGGGTAATATTTACATTGAGGGGAAAACAATAAAAAAAATAGAACAAATACGGGAATTGTAATGTAATATATGTGTAAGTTCATCAGTTTTGTTATTTGCATTTGTTGTTGTTGTTGTTGTTGTTTGTTATTCATAAATTAAATCACATCAACAAAATCTGTTGGCATTTTCATTGAAATATTCAAGTCAATAATTGATTAAATGTTAGACTTTATAATGAACTTTATTAATCTTCTGTGGCAAAATGTATTTATTCATTTAACTAACAATGAGTAAAACACTACTTTTATCTGTAACCAAACCATCACAGACAAGATAATCTACACCTCGGTTATTTTCCTGGCAGTAGGTATTTCAGGGTTGTGAAGGTATTGAGATGACACAAAATAATGATAGCTCTTCGAAAATAAAATAAAGACATACTGAATCAAACATAATGAGATACAAAATATTAAGACAAATTAATGAAATACTAAGTCTAGCCTTTTTCATTATGTTGGTTAGCGTGTTGACCATCTGCAGTACTGCGTTATACCCATTAGAAAATGTGAAATGGTCTTAACATTTTACAAAACCTAAACTGATCATTCAAAAACTGTAAAATATTAAAAATGTAGTTTAATAGATAATTTGCTTGTCACCGGCTTGAAGTTTGAATGAACTCTTTAGCTGAAGGAGTAGCATTTCAAAAGTGACAGAGGTTGAAGAGGATTTGAAAAGGCTGAATATTTGTACAATGAAAGTTAATACCAACAACAGTCACAGCATTCATGTCCTGAAAAAGCTTATCCTGTGCTTTCGAGTTTGTTTACATTGCATTTCTAGGGGCTTTTATTTTCAGGGTTCATATACTTTTCACCAATGATTTCAAAGACTTCTCCATAACATTTACCTAATGTTATTCCATGACCAAGGAATGACTCTTTCTCAGCGGTACCATTGAAAATAGTTTATTTTAACATTAAGGATAATAAGGTCTGCATCTGAAACATATAGTGCCTATCTCAAACAAATAGACACCAGAGAGGCACACTTAGATACATTTCCTCATATTTAAATTTAGAGAAGTTACACCTTTTTGTCGATCAGTAAGATATATGAAACAATGCTATCACATTTTCTATCAGAGTGAACAAAGAGATAATGAATGAGAATAGTGCATTGGAGTAGGAATGCAACTGCTAACTACTGAATTACAGCTCAAAATAAAATATAAAATAAAGGAAAGAATGTGAAAGAAGTAATTACTTCAGTAACATTTTGATTGCAGGACTTTTACTTGTAACAAAGTTGAATATTTGATTGGTTTTAAGTTTGAACCAATACATTTGTTGTTGATCAAAGTTGACAATATATTATAGTGAAAACAGTACTTGAATGAAAATTGTAAAGCCCCAATGCATTGCACTGATTTGCTGAATAACCTGAAGATGAAATGTAAAACAGGCAGAGTTGAAATAAGTAATAAAGCTTGTTATTTTTGTATAAAGTATAAAATGGTAGAAACAAAAAATTCATAGATATAATTTCCTTACATAGCTGAATGATTTAGTGGTTGAATGGTTTCAGTAGCTGAAAGTATGCTGAAGTAGTTAGATGAGACAAAAGGTACTTTGTAGACTAGGTACTAGTAGTAGAAGAAGCAACAATAGCAGTATTATGGTACTATAAGCTGGAGTAACAGTTGTAGCGCAAAAGTGAATATTTGAATGAGAGTTAAATGGACAGTTCATTTGAACCGTATGAAGCAGGCAAATTACCACTAAAAGGTTTGAATAAATGTTGTGAGTCAACAATTTAGTTGTAATTAAAAGTATTATTATCCTTCAAAATGCAGCAATAAATTACTACGAGTCATGTCCTATTAATAGTACAACATACAAACAATGAAATTAAAAGAAATGACCTCAAATGTATATAAATATATCTTCTCTGCATAAGGCCAAAACTTTTATTTGGGCCTTAGATCTTACAATAGGAAAACGTTGACAAACCAGAAGGAAATGGTCCTTTGGCTGCACAAAAAAAGAGGATTATTTTATTTGTTTTATTTTAAAATTAGGTGGATGGTGAAATGTTATTTTATTTAGTTTCTTTTCAGCTTCACAATAAATTATTTATGGTGTAAATGATCTGATTAATAGTTACAGTCAGCTGCACTTTTTAAACTGCATTAAAACATTTAAGAAAGTTAAATTAATATATAACCTTTGATACAATTATCATACACCTAAATGTTTGCATAAAACAAAAGACCAATAAACAAATAAAAAAACAAAAAACAAGATGATACTTGCAAAACCGAAATGCTTGGTTGTTTATCAATTGTTTATCAAACAGGTTGATAAGGCAGGGCTTACCCATATTGTCACCATCAGGCAAAGGAAGTGTGTGCTGTATATTTAAATGATGCATTGTAGTAGCACTGTAAAATTGGGTTGAAAAAATCAACAAAACTATAACAATATTGTCCAGCCCTACCCTGAAAGAATGTTCACATTGTGTTTAGCTAGGCTAATAGCCCTATGAGTTCATGGCTTTAAGCTCCAGAAGCTCTTGACTGACAGCAATCGTCATGTCAATTTGTAATTTAGCAACATCTAGCTCAAGTTACTGAGCCTCACTGAAATGCAGGAGTGAACTCAGTGAAGAATTTGAAAATGTAATTCCTAATTAAATAATTTGACAAGGCTTAATGAACCAAGTCACATGTCGTATGCATCATGAAGACAATGGCTTCAGCTTAGATTGCACAGACTGAACGCTGATTCTATATTTATATAGAGCTTTTTTCATGGGTTCAGATTAGCCCAAAACTAGGTACAACGTGAACATCCTTTAAAACCTTTCATATCTACCAGCTGAAACCCCACACTCGTGATCACTATGTTGTACTGTTTTCCTGTCCTCTTCCAGTTAAATGAACCTGGAAGAGGACAGGAAAACGATGTCTTTTAGATACATGTAGAACACAGGTAAACAGGGAAAGCAAAGATGGCATGAATGAACATACATATAATGAAAATAAACATGCATTGTTTGGATCAGGTAAAAAAGGTAATAAAAAAAAGGACCAGTAAAAAAATCAAACCAAATTGCTGTCCTACTGCTCAGTGGCAGTCAGTCCGTCAGTCCGTCAGTCCGTCAGTGGGTCAGTAGTATTGGTTGCTGTATGTTGAATCTGTCCATTGTAGGCACACATCAAAACGGTCAACGTTCAGTGTGAGGACGTAAGGGCGGTAAGATGGTGACCTTTGACATGTCCAATCGCTGTAGAAGTGCTGCTTCCAGTTTCCTTTAGCAACATGGAGGGGGAGAGTCTTAAAGAAAAAAGGTCAAAAAACGTTACCCCTCACATTCCTGTAGTTGTTAATACAGTTAGATATTGTATGAAGCGAGTACAAAAATGTGTTACCTTCACAGCTTTAGGAGGAACGTTCACTCTGACAGGGATGACTGATCTGTGGTAGTTTGGTTCCCTGCAACAGTTCATCTGATCACTGCCAAATGATCCACAGGATGCAGGTCCTGCTGCACTGAGCTGTGCACAGCAGTGGATACACATGTGGGGATGTGGAGGTAGTCATTGCAGATATCTTGAACACTGCTGAAGGGCAACACATCTTCTCACACAGAAGTTTAGGACTGCTGCAGGATGGTCAGCTTCTTCGGTGTTTGGTTCTGTCTGTGCAGTCCTGAGTGTCTTCACTGTGAAATGTTGGAATCACAGTGGAGCAAGACCTGATGGAAGAAGTGAATACATGAGTGAACACAACATTACATTCAAACATTAGATAAGCACAAATGAAATTAGAAGACAATACCTTTTGCTCTGTTGTGAAGAATCTTCACCACTGCCTGCATTGAGGGGGAACACATTTCTCTGTGGTCCAGCAGTGATGAGTCCACTGTGGTTGAACAGTTAAGCTGCTGCCACTGTTGCAGCTTGCATGTCTTGGTTTTACGAGATGATCCAGTATCTCAGCACCAGAGAGAAGACAAGGCTGAGGCAGGCAGGAGATATCTCATCCTCTTCTTTGAAGAATTGGGATGAGAAGGAAGTAGAAGGTGTGTCTGTGTGGTCCAGCAGTGACTGGTCCACTGTGGTTGAACAGTTAAGCTGCTGCCACTGTTGCAGCTTGTCAGTCGTTGTGAGTGGATCCTCACGGTGCTGAAGGAGATGAGGACAAAGCTGGCAGGTGCCGTCACAGAGGAAACTGACAAACTGTGTCTGGTCCAGGGGAAAGGAAACTTACAGGAATTATAGTCTCTAAAGTCATGGCCCCCTACCCTACGCTAGAGTATGTCGTTTGAAATTGTGAGGGATATAAGTGTGGGAATTCAGCTGGTAGAAGTACATCAGAAAGTACGTGTTACATAGAACATATACTTTTTGATGTAAATACATTTTTGCAAAATGGTGTCAGCAGCTATTTGTGTCAGCATGATGTTTATAGCTGCTGACACAATTGTGGCCTGTGCATTTATCAACCCTGAGCCCAACCCACCCTGATAAATGCACAGGCCAAGTTATGCTGAAAATATAGCTAAAAAAACACGTTTACCTTCAAAAGATATGACCCATAATATTGTCCAATACTGTGAAAAGTTAAGATTGCCCAAAACATTGTATAGCTTACTAAAAACATGATGACATAAAACAGATATGACCCATAACATTGTCCAGTGCTCTGAAAAGTTTAGATTGCAAAAAATATGTTATAGCTTTTAAAAACATGATGACCTAAAAAAGATATGGCCCAATATTTCAAATAGTTTCTACCTACCAAAGGTTCCAGCTAGAACTCACCTGACATCATTAAACAC